TCATGCTCCGTGCAACTGAGGGAGGGACGACCTGCTGATTGGTCGGTGGGTTGGCGGGGGGCGGAGTCTGCAGCGCTGCTCCTCTGTGTTGAAGTTGTTGATTTATCTCTTTCCTTCTGTAAGTCACGCCCACTCTGAGCAGGAAACACAAAACAGTGTCGCACAACCAACACAACTCACACACCAGCGGCCAATCACAAACAAGGAGTGTGTGTGTGTGTGTGTGTGTGAGTCTCTATTCACTCTCGCTGTAATTAGTGAAGATGTTCAGGCTTTAGAGAAAAGATTCACAACGACCTCGACCGTGAAGCAGCAACAGAGTGAGGAAGTGAAACGATGTGAGTGAACGAGCAGAGAATCTTTACATTTCTCTCGTCTCTCAAGCTTTTACTCGCGGATCGTTTCCCGTTTCGTGTCCTGACTGTTGGTGACCGGACATTTTCCAGAGTTTGTCTGTTACGTCGTCTGTTTCCAGCTGTAGCCAATCACCGGCCAGCGATCTCAGGGTATCTCACACAAACGCTGAGATACGAGCGTCAAACTTGTCCGTGTGTTGTTGTGGCTTCAGAGGTTTTCCTTTCTTTACGTCTTCACAGTTTCTGATCGTCTCTTCTGCATCTTCTGAACTTCCAATGTTCTTCATCCATCTCTGTTTTCAACAAGTATTTATCCAGAGAGAGTCACTCACTGCTGCACTCTGAGGGGAACCAGCGAGGTGGAGGGAGGGTGAGTGTGTGACACATTCACTTCCTCCACTTCCAGCTCCTCTCACCATTAAAACCAGTCGTTCAAATATATAATTTTGACCCAAGTGTCTCTAGATTTCTGTCAAATTAAACCCTTGAGCCGCTGATTTCACTGATTAGTTCCCTCTCTCGCTGGATAATAATCAGTGAAACGAGCTGCGTCAAGCTGGAAAGCTTACTCAAACCCCCCCACACACACACACACACAGCGGGTCACCCTCACGTCTGATTGGCTGCCGAGAGCCTCGCTGCTCACCTGCAGAGAGCGTCTGAGCGGCAGGTGTGTCGCAGCTCCAGGCAGACGGGTCTGTGCCTCTCCTGGTGGGAGCAGGACGGGACGATGGTGCGGCGGCGGCGCTCGGCACACGCCTGGTCGGGGCAGGAGCAGAACAGCAGCGGGTAACTCAGCTCCCACGGCACCCGCTCGAAAAACTGCCGCAGAGCCTGAGACCAGACAAACATGAGCATCAGACTCTGACCTTCTATTTACATGTTTAAGAGACAGACTCTGATCGCATGTTCTCTGTAAGTCGTCATGGAGACAGAACAGCTCGAGCTCAGTGGCTGTTTTCAAAGTTATTTAAAGTTAGAACATTTAGCTCCACCCACCTTCTGACACCTTTTCCGGCTGCACGGCTCCTGATTGGCCAGGGAGGGCTGCGGAGGAGTGGCCTTGCTGCAGATGGAGTTGTAGGCAGATCGCAGACGTTTGCACGTCTCGTTGAGGTTGCACGCCTTCGCTGCGTCCAGGCAGGGGTTGCAGGGTTTCCCCGCTTCAGAGCAGGGGCTCATCTTCGACAAAGACGAATCTGAGAAGAAAAGAAAAGATTTAAAAGTTTCGAGTCGTGGACGGAGACTTCGTACTGTCGCTGTTTTAACAGGCGTCACAGCTGATGACAAAATAACTTTATTCAAACATCGAGTACCAAACTTTTGTCAGAAAGTTTGTCTCAGGTTTCTGACAGTGTTGTCCTTGTAGTCTCCTCCACCCGTCAGAGAGTTTCATTCATATCTGTGGACTAACGTGTCCTAACATTCCTGAGCAAGATGTCTTAACTTTTAGGTTTGAGCTTCAACTGGATAAAAGTTTAAACGAATGAAACTGAACGCAGCGCCTCAAAGTGACGTCACATGAGGATCGAGAGTCTGAACAGACGATGTTTCAGTGAATCAACAACAAACCTCCTCAGTAACAGAACTAAGATGTTTCAAGTTGTCTGACCCCCCCCCCCCACACACACACAGTGTCTCAGTGTGAACACACGCGTGTGGACACCGATGATCCAACACATTCAATTAAACACGTCTGATGGGAGCGACGTCTGTGACCTTTACTCTGAAAAGACCTTTAATTTTGTCACGGTGACATTTCACTGAGTTAAATCTGTTGGGGGTGGAGCCTGACTAACAGCTCGAGGACACACCCATCTACAGCAGCCACCTGCTCCCATTGGACGGTACTAGCTGTCAATCACACCGTGGTCTCCACCCCCCCTTCCACCCGGTGCTGTCGGGTCAGTTTGACTCGAAATGATCAGAATCACAAACGAACATCAGCCGTTTGAAGAAGACGTGAAACTAGAGACAAAAACTCCTGAGGACAAAGTTTACTGACTGGAGGACATCTTCAATTCTCATAGACAGTCTGTGGTCCTGAAGACAGACACTTCAGTCCACAGACAGAGACAGAGAGAGAGAGAGAGAGAGAGAGAGAGA